GGGCGCGTATTATATAGGACAGTAAATATCATTTTTCGTAAAATACCAACATATATTCGCTGTGCTAATATTAAGTAAAATTTTAACTGTATAATTTATGAAATATATAATTCTCAATATTCTACTTCTGATATGCGGAATATTATTTTTGTAAAATATTATACATAATATTATATATATATATATATATAAATCAGCTGATGTGCATAATTCGATAAATAAAATCGGCAACTCGCTCGTAAAGTTTCTAAAAAAAAGAGAGAGATACATGAAATCACGAAAAGAATAATGTAAGAAGGTGGCGGGACAGTCTCTTAATTAGGTTCGCCTGAAGCGATGAGCAGCGCGCACAGAAGTGAGTATATATAAGCACTTTTAATAGAAAACTCACGTAACTCACTTTGGCGTAGATAGTTATATCTTCAACCGAGACTTCGTTTTGCAGAATCGCGAAATGTTTTTTGGAGCATCGCCACGTCGAAGAATTTAATTAACTCACGATGGACGAAATTCTCATTAAGAATATGTAATTTTCTATTCACATAAATTATCTCGTCCCTCCCTCTTTTTGAAAATGCCTGTCAAATTTACTCGATTCGCGAACTAAATCGACGATGGAATGTACCTATAAAGTCAATTTCTGATTAAATTACTACCGAAATCGCCGAATATTACTAGAAGCATATTTAGATCGTATCGTGATTCAGAACTGACACTTTGATATCTGCAAGTTTGACGAGCAAGAAAATGAAACATATAAAGTTGAAAAATATATAATACAGACTCTCTTTCTTTTTATTAAATTAAATATTAAATGAAGTAATAAAAATTTAGTCTTAAATTTTTTTTTAACTAATAATTATGAAGCTAGTAAAATGTTGAAACATGTATGATACCTAATGTATATTATATGATGATTCAATTGCAGCTTTTTTAAATTTACAGCGACCATTTTCATTTAGCTTAACATGGCTTGCTTTATATATGTAATGCTGAAAGAGAATTTCACTCGAGGATCTTTTCGAGCGTCGCTCAGAGAAATAAATATAAGTCTAGGATTCTCCAAGACTTCTCAGAAGCTGCACATTTTCTAATCTCTATTCAGTTTCGTAGTAATTCATATTGTTGAATTATTCGCGTGGTTAAAATTAAATTAGATTAGATGGTTCAAATATAAAAAACAAAGAACATTTAATTACAGCATTTCTGAAAAATTCTTTTCAAAGCTTTCAAGACTTCAAAATAGAAAAAAATCCGCTTTTGTAGAAAATAAACTTAAGACTGGTTTTAAAAATTTGTATGGTATTTTACTGCAAATTCTAAAAATAATCGTTATGAATGCGAAAATAATCGAAAGTATAAAAGAAATAATTGTTGTTAAATAAAGAAGAAAGATGATCAAAATATTTTATGCAAATAAAATCAAGAACACAAACTTGATTGTTGTAATTTATGATTTAATTTGATTTAATATAATTTAATATCAATAAATAATCATATCAATAATGATAATGCACTGATCATAATAAAGAAGCATGTACGATATTTCTTTCTTTCACGTCGATTTTAACAGACTCGATATTTATAATTCTTTTCTCGCTTCAATACTGGGAATCAATTACCGCTAATTTTTTTCCTGGTTTAATTCTAGCAAAACCAATTTCTGTCATCTTTCTCTCACGCTTCAGTTCTAACGAAACCAATTTTTCTCCTGTTTCGCTTGTAATAAACGGGGACCGATTCATCGGTCATTTATTTATCTTTCTTTGTAACGTCGAACGAGAAAATTTCAATGTTGACGGCGTGAAAAAGCAGTTGAACGAGTGCGGGATAATAAAACTGGGATGTCCATTATCTCATGATTACGCAGGAAACTTTCACGAGTATTCTGATAATCGAGAGACCGTTCTCGACGAAACGATATTTACTTCAAACGAGAGGTATCCCTTCTGAATCCAACGTGGGATATTCATGGAAGTAAATAGAAGCGATCTCGAAAAATTTCTGTAATTTTCCTAATGCAATTCGTGACGCATTCAGTTAATTGTTTCCGCTCGATTTAATTGTTACGCCGCGATGAGAAGGAAATGGTTTTTCTCGCGTATTAAAATTGTAACATAATTGCTTATTTATTATTATTTATATTAATCTTGCAGCACTCTCAATATTTGTCACAATAAATTCGTTAGCGTCTGTAAAAAAAAAAAAAAAAAAAAAATTGCACAACTGCGGTTTATGAGCGAACGTTTTGTCAAAATTAAATTTAATCATCCAGGTGGTTAAGTTCTCAGCACCAGATGTAAAAAAGCCAGCGTGTACAGCGATACAAAAATAACGTATACGAGAACACACACAATTCATATTTAAAACTCGCGAAAATGCAAAGCGCAGGAATGATATTACTATCGTGAAATTTTGCTCAATAGAGAGCGAGATTACGAGATAAAATGTCTCGCATTGTCGAAATTACGGAAAATCGCGCGCGTCCCTTTCACGCTATTTTCTCTTCGCGAGAGAGGAGATAATTTCACTCCGTCTCTTCGGCTATCGCGAACCAAGCGAGTCAATAAGTGTAATATTGTTTCCTCGACCCCGTTCGCACTCTACCATCATTCTCCCTTTAGTCTCCCTTCTATTCCCGATCGCCATCCATCCTCGATGCAGTCGGTGAAGCGAAGTGATAAAGTGTCCCAATTGTCTGATTCGTACGGAAGAGTGTCTGGAAGCCATTTCTACCCTATACTTTCATCCTCTCCTTTCCCGGGATGCTCGGAAACGTGCTCGGGGTGAAAATTCGAGGAGACTGTCTGCGATCGACGTCGGAATTAACTGAAATTCCGCCGGAATTCGCGTGTCCCTTCGAGACCCTCTTTGGGCTACCAACGTCCCGATTTTATTCCCACGATGACTTTCCGGACTCGTCGCTTCAACGCGAAAATGTGACACGCGGCGAACGAGAATACTGAGGAAATAATTTTCAGGGTGTTCCAATCATTTTATTGCGACGACGGCGAATGGCAAAAGTTTTTGACGAAGCGAGATCGAAGGAGGGAAGAGAGGGATAGAGATTATCTCCCTTAGCAATTGACCTAATGTATCGGCATATCGCGATCTGATAATATTCGGGAAAGCCTAATTTCGAGCCACTCGATCGAGCATGACAATCGCATTCATCACACGCAAATTGTAATCCATTTAGATGCCATTGTAAGCGCGTTTAATCGATTGTATACAGAGTATACAGAGCGTCCTAGAGAATTCTTAAACGCCTCAGAGAGTTGAATGCGAAACTAGAGTCTCTTCGGCTAATTTCAAGAGAGAGAGAGAGTGGAGTTTCTTTCGAGGAGAATTTTAATTTCAGGAGTACGAGAAAGAGATATATAATTCAGCATCGTGGAATCGCGTCTGTATCTCAAACTTATCGTTAGCTAAAAAATATATTGCTGGAACTCTTGTTATGGGGATCTTTTCAAGGATCAAGAAAAGTCTAATAAATTTCACAAATGATCGTTATTTTATAATTATCCAGACAAAAAGAAGGAAGTAAAAGATTATTTCTCCGCAGTGAACGTTGTCTCAATTAACAAATCAATAAAGAAACCGTCGGTTCGATAGAGTGATAAAATAAAAATTCTAATTGTCATCATAAAAATTATATCCCTCCACGGTTGATAAGCCAGGAATAAAATAATCAAGGACACCAAGACCACTCAATAAAGTCATACTGTAAAAATAATTAATCGGACTGATAAACTTCTCCACGAATCTTCTTCTCAATTAATTGCTTTACCAATCTGTTTAGTGACATCCATAGTATAAATTATCCTTGGAATCACATCTATATCTCAAACTTATCGTTGACAAAAAAAATATATCGCCGGAACCCTTATGGGAATTTTGTAAAGGATCAAGAAAAGGTGTAATAAACTTTTCCACGAATCTTCTTCCCAATTAATCGCTTTACCAACCTATTTAGTGACATCTACAGTATAAATTTCCTTGCAACTGCATTTGTATCTCAAACTTATCGTTGGCTAAAAAATATATCGCCGGAACTCTTATAGGAATTTTGTAAAGGATCAAGAAAAGGTGTAATAAACTTCTCCACGAATTTTGTCCCCAATTAATCGCTTTACCAACCTATTTAATGACATCTATAGTATAAATTTCCTTGAAACTGCATCTGTATCTCAAACTTATTGTTGGCTAAAAAATATATCGCCGGAACTCTTATGGGAATTTTGTAAAGGATCAAAAAAAAGGTGTAATAAACTTTTCCACAAATCTTCTTCCCAATTAATCGCTTTACCAACCTATTTAGTGACATCTATAGTATAAATTTCCTTGAAACTGCATCTGTATCTCAAGCTTATTGTTGGCTAAAAAATATATCGCCGGAACTCTTATGGGAATTTTTTAAAGAGTCAAGAAAAGGTGTAATAAACTTCTCCACAAATTTTCTCCCCAATTAATCACTTTACCAACCTATTTAGTGACATCTACAGTATAAATTTCCTTAAAACTGCATCTGTATCTCAAACTTATCGTTGGCTAAAAAATATATCGCCGGAACTCTTATGGGAATTTTTTAAAGAGTCAAGAAAAAGTATAATAAACTTCTCCACGAATCTTCTCCCCAATTAATTGCTTTACCTATTTAGTGACATCCATAGTATAAATTATCCTTGGAATCACATCTATATCTCAAACTTATCGTTGACAAAAAAAATATATCGCCGGAACTATTATGGGAATTTTGTAAAGGATCAAGAAAAGGTGTAATAAACTTCTCCACGAATTTTCTCCCCAATTAATCGCTTTACCAACCTATTTAGTGACATCTATAGTATAAATTTCCTTGAAACTGCATCTGTATCTCAAGCTTATCGTTGGCTAAAAAATATATCGCCGGAACTCTTATGGGAATATTTTAAAGAGTCAAGAAAAAGTGTAATAAACTTTTCCACGAATCTTCTTTTCCAATTAATCGCTTTACCAACCTGTTTAGTGACATCTATAGTATAAATTGTCCGCCTCTTCAAGTGAGATCCGCCGTTTCCGGAGTGTCGCCGGCACTTTCACGTAACTCCGATTGTTCGTCGTCGGATAGAAGCACTTGATCGAACTCGATCCGTCGCGTCGCGACGCGGGATCGTTCCACGGGCTCCGTCGAGTCGCTCATGTCTGAATCTTCGCAAACCCCTCGGAGCTCTCGAAGCCTCGACTTGAGTAGCGAGCGTGTGCGGTCGACTCTTTTTAGTTTTAAAGCGCGATCGTACGAGCCGCGATTGTTCGTCCCGACGATTTCGAGTCCTCGTTCATCCTCGACTCCATATCACTCGCGGTCCGATTTCTCAATAGAGAGAGGCAGAAACTCCGGAAGGAGGGAGTCCGTGTGTGTGTGGTCGTCGAATATATAGAATATATATTTATATATATATATATATTTATGTATATATGTATTTCCCCCGGAATTAACGACGGAGGGAATCGTTCGTCGTCACGTCGACGTGATACGTCGTCGTTTCGTGAGCGAGCACTTGATAACCGATAACACCATATTGATTCGACGTCCTTGCCGCAGCAACATCGCGAAGATATCGTAGCAACATTGTTGCGCGTCCCCGTGATCCTCTTAGAAGGTCCTCGCGACTGCGCTTCCTTCCGCAAGCCGGCCGACTGCTACCATCCTCGCATTCCTCCTCCTCCATCACGCTCGGGGCTAACACGGCCGGTTCTTTCCATCAAAGTAAACCTCGTGGACCTCGGATACGAGTCGAAGAAGCATTGTCCCCGTTTCGGCGAGAGGAGGATGAAGCCGAGAGGTGTGTATATCGTCGCGAGTCTCTCGAGTAAAATGGTAGAATGTTGTATATGGGTTTCTGGAGAAACGGATATGTATTTTTATATATTTTTGACGTTCGATAAACTCTTGAGAGAGAAACGAGAAGTTAGATGGTCGCGATATACGTTGGGTTGTCTGGCCAATCTTTTTTCTTTTTTTTCGAGAAAGCGATCCGAGAAGTTAACAGATTGAGACGATCGGGAGATTCCGGAGAGCGTTTGGAATTCGAGATGTCAATACTCGAAGTGGAATTTTCAATTTCAAAGAAAATTTGCAGCTCGATAAAGGATTTTACCACCTAATTCAAAATTCTGAGATCAATGCGAGGAATGCCAGGCTTGCGATAATTTGCGCGAAGAGAGTTCCCGAGTCTTATGAAGTTCCACAAGATCAAGAATTTAATCATCATTTCCGATGATGTCCAAACCATTAAAAAATTTTCTTTCGTCAGGATTTCAAGTTTGAGGTGTAAAAGAAAAAAAAAAAAACTGGCGACAACTTAACGTAAATCGCGATCGAATGCCGTTAGACGCGAATACGAAATTCAGAAACATTTATTCTGCTTTTATATTTTGCTCTATTTCGCGAACAATAATTTCGCACGTTCCGTGATAGTATAGCGTTCACGAGAATATCGCTGCGATATATCTCGGCGTTTTATCCTCCATTCGGCAGATAAAAAAAATCTCTATCTCCATTTCATGGATATGTCCTCGCTGATGTTGTGTAAAAAAATGCAAAACACATCCCCCTTTTTGATATCGCTTTCTACGCGAAGGTAGAGAAGTTCATTAAAACGTGAGCAATTTTAACACAAATATGTATATGTGCTCGTCCCGCTTTCATCCCTTTGCGCGATGTGCTCCAAGAATTTCATCGCAACGAGCAAACAATCAATTTTTAATGCAATAATCACGTACGCGCGCCACTATTTGCCGCTGGGCGAATTTGTAATCAAGCAAATATCTTCGCCGACCACGTGACCGCATCGCCTGCCTCTTCCCGCCTTGCTCCTTCATCACTATGGAATTAATCTGCAGAAATTATACGGAAACGTGAGATCCGCATGTTATATGAATAAAATTATTCCCTTAGATTAGCCGTGGTTTCCTTTCCGCGTAATTATAGTGTTACTTCGTTTACCCAGTCAAGTTTCTCGCAAAATTATATTTTAAGTTTCGTCTACGATTTTTTTTTTTTTCATCGGCTTCTGTCAAACAAAAAATCTAGATACTAATAAATTCTAATAGAAACGCCAGATTATTATCTCTCTGTGAAAAAAAAAAAAAAAGATGATTTCTCCTTTTGGAATCGAGAAAGGAATCATCTCCGAACTGATGGAAGCAATTTATATGTATCTAACAAAAATGGAAATCTTTCCTTGGAATTGCGAAAGGAAGAAAAAAATCGTCTCGATTCAATGAATCCGCGTTTGGCGAAATAAGAGACACATATATCCGGCCAATCATGGCGATTCCCGACACTCTGCTTGTGCAGCATTTATATATTGCTCGGTCAGCCTTCTTATCGTACTACTTTCGGAGACTATTCGTCGGCTCTGCGGTGTCTGTAGTTAACGAGGTGATCAAAAAGGATCTCGCCGCAAATTTGGCAGATTGATCCGAGTGATTTTCGAGAGAGGCCCTCGAGAAAATTAACGGGAGTTGATAAATAATTTTTATACCGTCATTATTCTTTTATATACGGCTATACTACACACGCTTATTAAAATAAAATAATTATAAGGGACAATATTGCGTTATACGACATCTTTTACACGACAGACAGTATAGATTATTTATGGAAAGAAAATTAATAAACGATGGATAAAATTTATATCACGGATATTGTCGTGTTTTCCGATTATTTAATCGAATAATATAAATTATAATTCCGGAGTAATTAACGGGAACAATGAAGTTATATGCATAAAGTTAGCGTATTGTGTTTAGTCATTTATCTTCTATATTATATTGTTCCGCGGTTCCGCGTAGTACATTTTCATGTTAGTTTCATCAATTATACTCTAGTTCTTCTTATTTTTAATAATGCATACAGGCTCTAGATCTAGCAATTTATCTGTCAGAAACTCTATTTCTGTTCCATCCCATCAAAGTTATCATTATATGTTACTGACAATAAAGTAATATACATACATGTATTATATATATATACACGCACATACACATGCACGCATATCAGTATATTTAGTTCTATTCTCTTTCCTATCGTATTTAATGTTATTTACGTTATGTCGCTTAATCCGATTATCCGTTATTCCAGGCAGATTGTGTTGTAAATCATATTAATTAATGCCTATTCTGTTTGCTATCCATTTACTCAATTGTATCATCAAAAAGCTTGTTAAATTATTCTGAATTTTATCAATTATTTTCATATATAAGTATATCATATAACCGCGTATAATTTCACGCTAATAATTACGGAATGAAATCCATTAATATCAATTAAAAGTTTCTTACGCGGAAGTATATTGTTTCTATCCTGTCAAACTAAAATTTGTCCGTCTTCCCCCTTTATAATTCATTTAAGATTCCGCGTTTCATAAAATGTTATTCTCCATCTAATCGTGTTTTGACACTAACTATATTATTTACGCCTTATTTCCCCCTCGGATTATTATTACTCCATTTTACTACCTTCGTTTCAACCCCTCCGTTTAAACACCCCCAAAAACAAGAGCTCGATGGAGGATAAAATACCGATTTGTCCCTTCTTCATTTCCCGGGGCAGTAATAATCATTTGCTATATATATACACACGGTATATCCGCGTTTTCCCAACAGGACGGAATAATTTATCGCAACTAGAGAGTAGAATCTCTCCCAGTTTCAACCGTGTACAGGGAGAAAAGTCCCCGAGCGGTGTTCGTTGCTTATTTTTCCCAACACCCGGATAAAGTTTTCGGAGCGTTCGTCACTATGGGTTATCTTGCGTCTTCGAGAAATCCGCTACGATTTACCGGCCCAGAGAGGTCATATCTACCTCACACACGAAGGCAGTGATCGACGATCTTGATCAGCTGTCGTAGACTGCGAACACTCGGCGTAATAATAATAATTGTACGCACAGCAATTAGTCCGCGATCGCGAAACGACGATGACGATACCCTCATCGTCGACGACGACGATGATGATGATAATAATGATGATGTCGCGTCTCTCGCTCTCTCTCTCTCTGGGCGCGACTTCCTGGTGACGCGCGCGATTTCGAGCGGACGATGTCAATTTTCCTCGTCGTCCCCGCCGTCGACAACGCTCATCGATCACGGCGTCTCCTCGTCGTCGTCGACGGCGTCGTCGTCGTCGTCGTCGTCGTCTCAAAGAGAGATCGATTGAAGGCGCAGCCTCCGCTTCGACGATGGATCCCGCGATTCGCGAGGAACTTGTCGCGCGCCACGCTCATCGAAAGGGGGTACCTGGGGGGGGGGGGGTAAGGTGGGAATGAGGGAGGGAGAACGGGAGGGGGGACGAAGAGAGAGGGAGGGAGGGTACGATCGGACACTGCCTGTGACAGGCGAGCGAGCGACGCCCGCTCCGAGGATCCGAAAGAGACACCCGCCAGAACTAGGCCCGACGATGCTGATTGGGTTTCGGGGGAGGGGGTAGATAGTTGGGGGAGGGAGAGAGAGACAGAGGGGGAAGAAACGGACAGAGAAAGAGAGAGAGAGGAGAGAGAGAGAGAGAGAGATAGAAAGAGAGAGAGCGCGCGAGGCGAGGCGAGCGAGAGAAGCGCCAGTGGTGAGCGTCCGCCCGCTGCGACGCTCCCGACAGGACTGCTCCCGCTCCCCATTTACGCCGCTTTCCCTCCCGCGGTCTCCCCCCCCTCCCACCCCGCCGCCACCCACGACGCCGATCTCATCACGGCGGCGCGCAGCCACCCTCTCTTGCGCGCTCCCTCTCTCTTCGCATCGTGCGAGTAGAGCGAAACTATCCCTCGTCCTCGCTTCTTTCAACCCTCTTCTCGCGCCACGTCGACTATACACGCGGCGCGAGATAGAGAGAGAGAGAGAGTATGGTAGTGTAGAGGGTAGGCAGGTATACAATTCCGCCGCGTATACAAGCGTGTAAACATATTTGCGTGCTGGTTAATTTCAGTCGTACTCTTCCGCTCGTCGGAACGGACGAGCGAAGAGGATGTAGATGTATCAGAGGTTTTAAACGCGTTCAGTTGCTCTGCGGTGGTCGGTCCTCTTCTCCCCTCGTCCTGTGCGAATAATTTTCCCGTGTACAAAGTTGTCGAATCGACTACTGCGTAGGTCGCACGCTTATATAAATACTGGGAATTAGGATTATTTATATATATGTATATACGCCCATCGGTAGAAGTTAATGATTGTCGATGAAACACAGGGGAATCAAAAGGAACTTTTATCCGGCGCTTCTGGGAAACGAGACTATTAAACTCGCTGCACGGGAAATATTCATATAGATATTATACATACATAGTTGCAATTACCGTGTGCGCGCGGATTGATTTCTCCCCCGAGTTTGATATAAACACCTACATACCATTTAGCAAATTGTACACCTTGATTACCAGATTGATTGCAATCCCGATTAGTATTGGAATTATGTAAAATATGAAGAATGGGGTATAACGTTTTGTATTAGGTTAATAGAATTCGGGTACTTCCGATAAGAATTATGTAGTGCATGTTCAAGTATTCGCGGCCGAATCTGTGGTTCTCAGCACCGGATGTAAAATAGCAAAAGTAGATTTAGCCGATGAGGAAGCGAGTGTCCATATGGCAGCACTTGACTCCGTCATTTATCAAAGCCAGCTGCTTCCTGAGTCCTGACGATAGCGAGTTGTGAATCGAACACACGTGGTTGGAAAGAGCAAAAATACGGAGCGCTTTCATGTGTGTGTGTGTTTCGTCGTAGGTATTTTCGCAAAATTTTGCATTCGTTTCAAAATGAAATTAGCAAAGTATCTCACTCTCGTATTTGAACATTTTTATTCCTACTTCCCGCGTCATCCCGTCGGCGATTAGCTCCATTCAAGCATTGGCTTCGTCATTTTTCTCTTTAATGACGAGATCTCTTTGACGAACGTTCAATTCATCAGCGAATAAAGGAAAATAATTAGCGCGAATAACGCTTTGAGTGCACGAATGATGCTCGCGGAACCTCTTTTAGAAATATGACGTTTAATATCCCGTTCAATTTGCACTTGCATTCGTCATTCGCACGGACTAGATTCTACGGAGTGAGAAAAGAAAAACGGATGATTTTACATAACTTGATTATTGTTTGATCATCGCGCGGACGATCGCGATATTTAAAATTATGATAATTATACTCCACAGTCGGCTTTAATAAGAAGCGCAATTTGTTTCCGCGAAACAGAATTATGTGGAAACTGTGTTAAGGCTTTGATAAGGCCCCTGTTAATTTTTCCTAACTTTGTTAGGGTCTTAATGTGGAAGCCCAATAAGAACTCTTTAAAGTCGGTCAGGTTTTTTCATCGAGAGCCCTTAAAGGTTGAGCAATCAGGGCCTTGATAATTGCCTTATGAACTTTTTTATATTATCCTAAGATGCCCATGTGGAAATTGTGTTAAGGCTTTGATAAGGCCCCTGTTAATTTTTCCTAACTTTGTTAGGGTCTTAATGTGGAAGCCCAATAAGAACTCTTTAAAGTCGGTCAGGTTTTTTCATCGAGAGCCCTTAAAGGTTGAGCAATCAGGACCTTGATAGTTGCCTTATAAAATACTTTATATTACCCTAAGATGCCCATGTAGAAATTGTGTTAAGGCTTTGATGAGGCCCCTATTAATTTTTCCTAACTTTGTTAGGGTCTTAATGTGGAAGCCCAATAAGAACCCTTTAAAGTTGATCACGCTTTTTCATCGAAGGCCCTTAAAGGTTAGGTAATCAGGGCCTTGATAGTTGCCTTATAAAATACTTTATATTACCCTAAGATGCCCATGTAGAAATTGTGTTAAGGCTTTGATGAGGCCCCTATTAATTTTTCCTAACTTTGTTAGGGTCTTAATGTGGAAACCCAATAAGAACCCTTTAAAGTTGATCACGCTTTTTCATCGAAGGCCCTTAAAGGTTAGGTAATCAGGGCCTTGATAGTTGCCTTATAAAATACTTTATATTACCCTAAGATGCCCATGTGTAAATTGTGTTAAGGCGATGTGTTATAAGTGCCCCCTTTAAGTTTTTTTCATCTTAACAGGGCCTTGATAGTTGCCTTATAGATGGTGTAAATTGTGTTCTTGTGATAAGGCCCCCGTTAATTTTTCCTAACTTTGTTAACGTAATAGGGTGTATTGGTTTACTTATTCAGACCATACATTAAATTATATAGCTACTCAAAACTAATATCACCTATTGGAGCCTAATCTGGCAGTAATGTGGAAATCCCTAATAGAGAGCCCACGTTTAAGCCTTTAAAAGCCACGACATTTTAAGGTTGCCCTAACAATTTTTCACATGAGAAGCAACAGTGATCTAACAAACAAATCTAATCATCCGAGTATCTTCTTCTCGCCTCTCTCGTTTTTTAAGGCTCGTGTTAAGAAAGACGCAAGAAAATGAGCGTGCAAGCTCCCTTGTAAGAAGTAATTTCTCGCCTTTGCCTCGACTGAAAGCTCATTACCGCCATGGAGAAACCCCTCCGACGCGGACAAACGCGAAAATCGATAATGTAGCAACGTTCGAACTTTGACCAGCGAAACGTTACCTCAGGAAACAATAGCGCGAGTTTTCGGCGAACAAATAATAATATATTATGCCAACACGCACGCATACATACGGAGAAACTTGTCGTTCATGAGGCGATCGTGTATGCGGTTCGCCTCCCAAAGCTTTCGGACAGGTGTCAGATTTGAATACATGCAATCAGTTGCCCAGGCTACATGTAATTACTGTAATTATGGGGCCAACAGTCGCGCTAACCTATTCGCACGTCAATCACGTTTGGTTAATGCATTACGAATAACGCGCATAAATTGTATAAATCAATAGATGGATCGAAATGCGCGTCCCTTTTGGAATTAACCACGGGACACTTGTATACAGCTGTACGGAATTGTGTTTTCGTCCCTTCTCTCTACCCGTACAAGATTAAACATGTCGACGATTGATCGAGTTGATGAAGCCGCGGAATCCAAAGGCAACATCGAAAAAAATTTTTTTTTTTTTAAGCGCATACTTTATAAGTCCTTTTAATAGATATTCTTAATTTTCTTTTTAAACTTTAGTTCCGCAATAAATAAATAAATCTAATAAATTAATAATAAATCAAAGATAAATTAAGAAAATAAAATTATAATAGTTTATAAGTTTTAATTAGTATATTATTACTTTTAATAAGCAAAAATATGTACTTAATTATATAATAAATAACAAAATACTTTTTGTGTTATCGCGATTAATAATTTCAAATAATACACTGATAAAAAAATAATAAGTTTAATAATCTTGCAGATTAAAAATATCTAATAAAAATATATCTCTTTAGAGAATTTAGAGAAGAATCCTCCCTTTGTCAATATTTCTATTTTCTTATTACGATTTATTCGAATCAAGATTTCCTCTGTTAAATCATCGAGAACTCTGGTCACTTCGAATTCCAATCATCGTATATTAAACATTATCTCTGTACACACACATACATACATGCACACAGCCTATTCATCTCTTTGCTCAAGTATCCCGTCGTTTGTCCATTATAACTGGCGACTCGCCATTAGTCTATCGATATTAGTCCCCATTAGTTATATGCGATTCGTATTACTTCCGCATTAATTCTCGAAGCCCTTTCATTTACAGATTAACCCGGAACTCCCATCCGTGGTACATTTTCCAGTTAGATCGCATACCAAACTTGGCCCTGTTTGTTAACGAGAATCCGATAAATTTTCGGAACAGGGGAGATAAATCGAACTCTGGGTGGAGAAAAAAAAAAGATTTTTTTTTTTATAAGTGATTTGATAATGGATAGATAAACGGAATAGAATATAGCGGAATACAGAGACATAGTCTATAGAGAGGATAAAGGGAAGAAATAAAGTCATCCTCCTTAGTTCCTTATCTCGGAAACTTAATTGTCAGTTTGGAAAATTGCATTCGCGCAGGACGTAGAAAGCCGTGGATGCAAATTTCGCTCAAGCGAGAAGACTGGTAAGAATTTTAAACTTCGATAAATGTCGACGACGGCAGAGCTACAACTTTGGTGCTCTACCGAACCGATGCCGAAGGGTTGATAGATGTAATGGAAGACACGACGAGGATGCTTGATGGGAAACGAGGATAAAATGGGACCGATATAGTCAGCCCATCGTTGGTTTAACATCTAATTTGTTTTGCGCCATTTGTTTCGTGCACATAAAACACGAAAGTTTTCCTCGCTAAAGCGTTCCGAAATTCGCATATTAGAAAAAAAATTTTTAAGATTGATGGACAATTTTTTAACTAAACGTCGCTGTGTCACTAATGTTACTTTTTTAGTATTAATTGGTAATTTATTTTTAAATACTTAATTGTTTTAACTGTATCGCATAAATTTTTCTCATTGTTAGATATTTTTTTTTGTTTTTCATAATTGTGCAAAAGTTGTTTAATTTGTTTTTATATTTTTTTTAAGTAAAAGACTTTTGCGCCTCGTAACTTTTTAATTTCCAACA